TCCTGAATAGCATTGCCTAGATTTTCTTCTAGGGTTTTTATGGTTTGGGGTTTTACATTTAAGTCTTTAATCCATCTTAAGTTAATTTTTGTATTAGGTTTACGGAAGGGATCCAGTTTCAGTTTTCTGCATATGGCTAGCCAGTTTTCCCAGCACCATTTATTAAATAGGGAACCATTTCCCCATTGAAAAGAGCAATTTTTATTTTCTCATTTTTCTTGGGAACATTTTGCTTGTCTAGAGCCAGAGTCCTAGTTACAGCATTTAGAAAATAAACACATAAGCTAGATTCTAGAGCCGTGAGTAATCCGAAAGGAGGCGGCCACTGTCCGGTGCCGGACGCCGCGTGCGAGGTGGCAAGTGGAGACACAGGTGCAGACCTGCCTTCCCGGTCCGCTGCCGATGGAGAAGCATCCAGGTTTTTGGGTGACGCGGCGCTGGGAGGAAGGTGTCTTAGCCCACTTGGCTGTTGTCACAAAATACCATAGATTTGGTGGTTTAAACGATAAATGTTTATTTCTCAGTTCTGAAGGCTGGAAACCCAAGACCAAGGTCCAGCCCACTAGGATTGCCGTGAGGGCCCTTCGTGAGCCCCTCTGTGAGCCCCTTCATGAGCCCCTCCATGAGACCTTCCTTGAGGCCCTTCGTGAGGCCCCTTCCTGGCTTGTGTGAATGGCCTTTCTGTGTCCTCACGTGGCACACAGCAAGAGCGGCCCTGGTCTCTTCCTCTTCCAATCGTGAGGGCCCCACCCTCAGGACCCCATCTAACCCAAATCACCTCCCCAGGAACCACCTCCTCATGCCAGCCTCTGGGGTTGGGGCCTCAACGCCTGAATCTGGGCACAACACGGGGTTGGACCCACTCTGCCAGGAGCCTGGACACTCTCCCGCTGCTGCCCACGTTTCTGGGGCCTGGTTGATGCGCCAGGATCTCTGTGTTCTCTTTTTACCCTAAGAGGCCAGGATTCCGAGTCGTCTGTGAAACCATGGGAGAGAGATTTGACGTTTGCCTCCCTTTCAAATGAAAGGAAAAGACTGGGGCGGCAGAGGGTGGCCCTCCCCAGACAGGCCCTGACCACGCCCTGGTCCCCACCCCTTGGCAGAACATCTCTGAACTCCCACGGACTCACAGGGGCCAGGTCAGGGCAAGGAGACTCAGGACCTGCGCTGCTCACGGGGCGAGAAGTCACAGCTGGTTAGGAGGCCGCAGGTAAGCAGAGGTGCGAGCCACGAGGGACGGCGTGAGTTATGTCGACAGAGTCCCCTCGAGGGATCCCGGTGTCCTGGCAGCAGATGAGGCATGCGTCACTGTCAGCCTCCACGCAGGATAAATGGATGGCCCGGAATCTCGCCATCAGCGACATTGCCGTCTGGGGAAAAATGGGAGTTGAGTTTGATGTTATAAATCACCATAATTTGTTACAATTTCCAAAGACAAATATGACAGCGTGGAATTACTCTGCAGCACCGAGGCTGTCATTTGCGGAAGCCATAAAATGCCCGAGCCAATCTAAGAACGAGATACATTTAATCTGAGGAAGCAGAGCTCAGCACCACCTCGGAGTACTGTGTTTACCAAGAACGTAGCTGCACCGGCGCGGAGGTATTGCCGCAGCTCATTTCCTTTCACTGCGAATCAGACTGACTCTCGTCTGAAGATTCTGCAGCTGGCATGGATCCTCCTCCACAGCTTACATTTGCTCAGCTGGAGCAGAGAAGAGCTGACGTCGGTGTTGCCCGGGGACGGTGTAAACAGCAGAATATCCCAGCACACGCGTGACTGTGCAAACCTCCCTCACCATGATGGATCAGAGCAGGAGCCACAGGGGTGTTGCGTGTCACCAAAATCCTGTTCAGGACCCACGGGTTGCGGAGGCGAGGCCTGCGTGCTGCTGCCTGGTCCTGGCTCATTCCGTCTTTCCAGATCTGGACGCCTCTCCAGCCACTTCCCTCTCAGTGACGGGGCTGCACGCGTGGGCAGGGAGCCACAGAGATGGGCATCGGTAGCAGCATCCGGAAGTGAAACCACAGGATAAAACAGGGAACACCATCAGCTCTGGCAACTGACGCAGGGATCATCTGCTGAGGAGATAGTTTCAGAAGCATCAAGGGAGGAAGCAACAGCGGGATTAAGCAGAAATGGCTGGCTACTGCTAAGACGGGGATGGACACTGGAACCCAAACGCGGAAACCCCAACAGCCTCCGGGTTGTTCTGGCCTTTAGACTTCAGTGCAAGAGGCCGGGCGCGGTGGCTCACGCCTGTAAACGCAGCATTTTGGGAGGCTAAGGTGGGCGGATCACCTGAAGTCAGGAGTTCAAGACCAGCCTGGCCAACATGGTGAAGCCCCGTCTGTACTAAAAATACAAAAATTAGCCAGGCGTGGTGGCGGGTGCCTGTAATCCCAGCTACTTGGGAGGCTGAGGCAGGAGAATCGCTTGAACCTGGGAGGCAGAGGTTTCAGTGAGCCAAGATCACGCCCTTACAGACCAGCCTGGGTGACAGAGTGAGACTCCATCTCAAAAAAATAAAATAAAAATAAAAAGATTTCAGTGAAGGACAATCACCTTCTAATCCTTCTTAACCCTTGTGTTTGTCTCCTTAGAAACTAAATCAATCTCTCTCTCTCTCTTTCTCTCTGTCTGTCTCTTTCTCCCCCATCAAAGTCATCAAAGCCCAGTCTCTTCAACCTGTGTATCCATAAAATAATTAAAATTCTGTAATTACGGTTTTGGTAATCGGAAAGTTATTTACAAAAACACTGCTAAATGATGATGTTAAAAAGCGCTTCTCAGAATGCGTGTGTGGTGGGCGTGGACTGGCCTCCCTTGGGGCCATGAGGGTCCCGTCCGATGACAGAGGGGGAGGGCAGATGGTTCTCTTCGACACAGGACTTGTCCGGGCATTTCATACACTGATGTTACTCCGAGGAGGAAATGGAATATGCATTAAGATCTTTCCTAAATGCCTTTCAAACCTCTAGCTGTAGTGTTCTTTGGAACATAGTTTTGGAAATATCATGCTCAGACATCATTAACTCATCCCAGTATTCCCGAGGGCAGCGTATTTTGTGGCAAAGGCAAGAACCCACTGCTCACCCGTGGGAGGCACCGCAGAGTCAGGACCTGGTGTGGCCTCGAGTCCCTAAACAGTCCCACGGTGCTCCCAGTGTGGCCCCGGGTTCCTGGGGGACTCGCACATGGCAATGCCGGGGTCACAGCTCACAGGTTGGTGATTAAAACGTGATGTTTGGTGGGGTGCAGTGGCTCATGCCTGTAATCCCAAGACTTTGGGAGGCCAAGGTGGGCAGATCACGAAGTCGGGAATTCGAGACCAGCCTGGCCAACATAGTGAAACCCCATCTCTACTAAAAATACAAAAAAAAAAAATTAGCCAGGCATGGTGGCACGCACCTGTAGTCCCAGCTACTTGGGAGGCTGAGGCGGGAGAATCGCTTGAACCAGGGAGGCGGAGGTTATGGTGAGCCGAGATCACACCACTGCACTCCAGCCTGGGCAATGGAGCGAGGCTCCATCTCAGAAAAAAGAAAAAAAAAAAGGTGATGTTTACACTAGAGACAGTAATCAGCTGGCTCATTACTCTCTAGGGCCCAGCAGGAACATCTAATGAGAGTTTGCTTCAAGGAGGGTAGAGGCCAGCCCCTGCCTTGTCCTTCCCCTGGGGTAACACACAGGATGCGGTTCCTCCCCTTCATTTCAGAGCAGGCTCATTAAACAGACACCGCTGGAGGCCCGCAGGTGAGGCAAGGCTCCTAGGGAAGCCTGAGGGGTTCAGATGCACCTCATTATGAAGATTTAAGTTCCTGGAGAAGCACCCATTCTCCGCCTGGCCTGCGTGAACCTGCACATTTAGGCACCTGCCTGTGCCTTCACCTGCCCGAAGCGAAGGTGCGATTGGCCCACTGGGAGAAAAGTCCCAGCGCCATAGCCAGTGGTCACATCCCCCGAAGAAATGTTTCGTTTCTGATCATCACGGCGGGCACTGAGATGAGAAGAGGCTGGTAATGACCTCTTGGCATCTCAGTGGCCCTGCACGCAGGGGACAGCTGCCCATAACACGCGCTGGGGCAGCACCCAATGCCTGAGCTCTGGGAGCCACTTCCCAACTCCGCAGGGAATCACACCTTTCCCTGGTCAGTATCAGGGGGTGAATTTCCCAGCAACAGGCCCACGGCAGAAGGACACGGGGACAGGCCACTGAGGCTCCACAAACAGGAGCCCACACCGAAGGCCCCATCAACAGACACAGGGAGCCAGGGATCATCAGGATCAGAGCAGGAAATCATGGGGGAGAGTTGGTTCCCATGCTTTTGGTTGATGAGGGTGAACAGCTGTTTTTGATACTGGTTTTGTTGATTTCTTAAGAACGAAAATCAGTGCGAGAATTAGAGATAGGCATTATGTCTTGGAGGGAGAAAGCAACATCAAGAAAGCATCACAAGACGGTCTGTCTTCAGGGAATGGCAGAGGCTGACACAGGAAAACGCCTGCAGACAGCACGCAGTGGGGGCACCGACAATTAGCTCTTCGGGGACAGTGCCCAGGTGCCCAGGGATGTTTTGCTCTGATTCAAATCACAGGCATGAACTATTTGATGTAAATTTGCAGCCTGCAATACTGGATGGTGTTTTTTTAAAAATAACACACAGAAAATACACAGAATGCTGGAGGAATTAGGAGTGGAGATGGAAATCAGACACGGGATGTGAACCACGTGTATTGTTAGGAGGAAAACTGGAATTCTAGGGCACTTTTTTTTTTTTTTTGAGACGAAGTCTTGCTCTGTCACCAGGCTGGAGTGCAGTGGCACGATCTTGGCTCACTGCAACCTTCGCCTCCCGGGTTCGAGGGATTCTCCTGCCTCAGCCTCCCGATTAGCTAGGATTACAGGCATTTGCCACCCCACCGGCTAATTTTTGTATTTTTAGTAGAGGCGGGGTTTCACCATGTTGGCCATGTTGGTCTCAAACTCCAGACCTTGTGATCCACCCACCTCAGCCTCCCAAAGTGCTGGGATTACAGGTGTGAGCCACCACGTCCAGCCTCTAGGGCACCATTACTGTGTGGCTGTAACAATGATCAGGCGGCACAGTTATCACTGCAATGAGTAAACGCTTGACTGAGCTGCAGTTGGTGTGGAATATTGTAGATAGGTGTCCATTTAGGGGCTGGAAGGAGGATTTTTAATTAAGGAACTGTCAACAGCCAGAGGCCCAGAAAGACTTGCATCTTTGGAGCATTGGCCACACCTCTCGCGAAGTGCTGCCTGGAGGAAGAGCCCCTGGCATGCAGCAGTCTCTGCACTCACTTTGTCCTGATGGGATCGACTTGTGAAATGATCCTGCACTCCCAAAAAGGTAACGCCTGTTCGGCCACTCACTAATTTACTAGATCATTCTGTGGTTACTCTGCCCGCTGCCTGCATGGGACATAGTGCAGGGAGAGGCGCTCAGTGAACCTGTGGGTGGCCCAAGGGCAGGACGTCCTGGAGCACATGATAGGCTGAGGTTTGCCAGCTGTCATAGCGCAGGGCTTGTCCGAAAGCCTCATTCAAGGATCCAACCTAATGGGAGGCAGAAATGCTCAGGGCCAACCTCGCTGAAGAAGCAACGAGTGACTTGAGTGCTGAGTACTGAGTGCTGAGTACTGAGTGCTGAGACTTGAGTGCTGAGTACTGAGTGCTGGGTGCTGAGTGCTGAGATCTGAGTGCTGAGTACTGAGTTCTGGGTGCTGAGCACTGAGACCTCAGGACTGAGTGCTGGGTGCTGAGTGCTGAGACCTGAGTGCTGAGTGCTGAGTGACAAGTAGGTTTCCAAAGGTGCGGGACAGCAAGCCTCAAGGCAAAGGCGTACATGGGAAATGAGCTCGGTGAGCTGGAGAGAGAACCCAGAGATGCCGTGAGCAGGAAGAGTGTGTGAGCCATGACCTGAGAGGAGTTTGGAGAGTGTGGGGCGCCCACACCACACCTCACAGATCTTGTTTAGAAACCGACATAAGCAGGCGGTGTGCATGGAGGGCTTTGGGCACAGGGACGGACAAGGTTGATGAACAGAAAAACCCACTCAGGCTCCGTGTGAACAGCAGGTCACAAGGAGTCTCATCCTGTGGCTCCCACAGAGGCCAGGTGACCCTGGCTGAGGCGGTGGCCATGGAGAGACAGAGTTCAGTGAGACGCGCTCACGAGGACCTGGGCAGGCTGGAGAAAGGAGGACAAAGTGACTGTGGCCCGGGTGCTGGGTTTGGAAACTGGATGAGGAAACCCAGGATGCAAGTGTTTCAGAAGGAGGGAAGGTTGTGGGTGTGGGAGGCCCTGGGGCAGAGGCCATGCAGGATGAGGTCTGAACAATGTCCCTTCACCTGGGTGCCGGGAGGGAGACCCTCATTGAGCTCTGAGAGGGGAGTTTCGGTCAGGCGACTCGGCTGCACGCTCCACGTCCCATAACAGGGGCAACAGGGGAGCAGAGGAGAAAGGCACAAGGCAGCGGACGGGTGCCCATGGTGGCAGGAGCAGTGGACGGGTGCCTGTGGTGGCAGGAGCAGTGGATGGGTGCCTGCACTGGCAGGAACAGTGGACAGGTGCCCATGGTGGCATGAGGTAGTGGACGGGTGCCTACATTGACAGGGACGGTGGATGGGTGCCCGCATTGGCAAGGGCAGTGGACGGATGCCCGCAGTGGCAGGAGCAGTGGACGGGTGCCCACAATGGCAAGGACAGTGGATGGGTGCCTGCGGTGGCAGGAGCAGTGGACGGGTGCCCACAATGGCAAGGACAGTGGATGGGTGCCTG